GGCACAGCTTTGCTTGCTGAAAGTAGGATGACTTGAAGCACTTACTGATGAAGATTAAAGACCAGTCTGCAGTATGGATTACATCTCAACATAAGGAAAACAAAAATCCTCACAACTGGACCAATAAGCAGCATCACAATAAATCGAGAAAAGATTGAAGTTGTTAAAGATTTAATATTACTTGGTTCCACAGTCAACACCAATGGCAGCAGCAGCCAAGACAATCAGATGATGTATTGCACTGGGCAAATCTGCTGCAGAAGACCTCTTTCAAGTGCTTGAAGAGCAAAGATGTCTCTTTGAAGACTAAGGTTCGCCTAACCCAAGGCATGGTATTTTCAGTCACCTCGTATGCATTTGAGAGCTGAGCAATGAACGAGGAATACTGAAGAAGAGTTGATGTCTTTGAGTTGTGGTGTTGGCAAAGAATACTGAAAGTATCATGGTGTTCTGGTTACTTAGTGCTGCTCTGACAGGAATATACCACAAATGGGATGGCCTTAACAAACAGGAGTTTATTCTTTCACAATTTGGAGGCTTTAAGCCCAGGTTCAAAGTGCCAGGCTCTAAGGCTATATGAAAGCCCCTCGACCTTGGGCTTCAGCTCTGCCTCTTGCTCCCAGCCCACTGAAGCTAGAAGCATCTCTTCACTCAGACAGTTGCTGACTGCAGAGGCTGACAAGCCTAAAGTTGACAAGTAAAAAGGCATAGTCCCCATGTTACCAAACCACTTAGCAGGCCATTAATTCAAGTCCATTGTAAGTCCCAAGGTCAGCAGAGCATGGCAGGCTGCTGAACAATGACATGGCTACATGTAGGGTCCAAGCGTGCCATAAGCTAGAGACTATCCCCAAGGCTTCTCCTTATATACAGGAGGCAGACCACATCCCAAAGGCAGCTACTCAGCTGCTTGTGGTAGATCCCACCATGGAGTTGATTGCCAGTCTCATCATGGGGAATAACTGCCACCAGCTGCCCAGCCACTCAACCAGGCCCAGCCAAGTTGACATACAAATTTAACTACCACACATGGACTGCCAAAAGAACTAACAGATCTGTCCTGAAACAAGTGCAGCCAGAATGCTCCTTGGAAATGAGAATGGCCAGACTTCATCTTACCTACTTTGGTCATGTTGTCAGAAGGGACCATTCCCTGGAGAAGGATATTGTGCTATAATAGCGAAGAAGGGGAAGGCCCTCAACGAGATGGATTGGCACAGTGGCTACAATGATGGGCTCAGGTATAGCAAGGATTGTGAGGCTGGTGCAGGACCAGGCAGGGTTCAATGGCACCCAATAACAATGTTAGTGAGAAAACGTGTTGTGTACATTATAATTTGACGGAATGCTAAATTGCAGTTAGGGTGTAGTGAAACCAAAGGTATAACTTTTTTCCTATCAAATTCACAGACCCCTAAATTCTAACCTTAGACTCTTTGGGTCTGTGGACTCTAGGAGCCCTTATTCTAGGGGAAGGCCAAACAGTGATAAAGGTGAGAAGCATACAGACAGATGCAACAGTATTGATAATATTCTAGCTCTTGAGGTGGTTTGAGGTTCAATTTATAATTCACATCTTATGTTATATATATTTATACATTTTCTTGAGATTTAACATACATGTAATAAGTAACTGGATCCTAAGTTTTAGGATTAGTTGAGTTTTTTCATGTATATACACTCATGTAAACACCACTTACACATAGGTTCTAGCACCCTGCAGGTTTCCCAGGTGCTTCCCCCCAACCCCCTGATCCCAGATCAGTGCTCTGGTCCCTGTTATCCTAGATCATCAACAGATCTTGAATTTTAAGTAAATGGAAACATGATGTGTTAAATAGATTTCAGTAGGTATCAAATGTTAAATATATAATTTTTTTTTTTTTAATTGAATTGAGTTATCTCAGGCTGTCCCTGCCCCTGGTATAACCTTTCTTCAGAGACAAATTTCCATTCCGGCAGTCCTCCTGCTTTTACCCCCTCCCCTCCATTAGAAATCTCTTTTTTAGCTGATCTCGAATGTGTTTATAGCACCTGTCTGATTACCTTTTCTCTATTGTTATGGTGTCTGGTTCATAAATTTGAAATGACATGTTTCATCAGGGAGTTACCTAAGGAAGAAGAAGTTCTCTTAGCCACTGACAATAAGACACACTGTGGGCAGCTCAGAAGCTTTGCAGGAACAATCACAAAAATAGGCTGTTGTGACACAGTCCTCATTTCTCCAGATCTTAACTCTAGAGAAATGAAATAACCATAGAAATTTAAACTGGAAGACAACCTTAAAGTTGAACTCCTGGGATTTGAGGATAGAACAGTGAAGTCCAAATAGACCACATTTGCCATTGGAAGATGTGGGTTTTGACCTTCCCTATCCTACCAACTTCCCTTGAGACCTCAGGCAAGTCACTTTTACTCTGAGCCTTTTTTTGTGGTGAAGTGGGTATAATCTGCCTACTTGTTGGTGTTGTGTGAGAATGAAAGAACGTGACATTGGAACACGCTTGGTAAATGATACAGTGCCATGGTCAAAGGAGGCATTGGTCTCACGCTTATTGTTTTACAGACAAGAAGGCAGATTCAGAGGGATGAAATTACTTGCCAAAGGTCATTCAACTAACTAATGGAAGAACTGAGAGTTGAATCAGGATTTCCAAATTCCTGAGTGAGTGTTATTTCCTCTATCCATGCAGCCTTTCTTTCCTTCTAAAATGAAGTTTTTCTCATGTGAACCAATCGAGTTCAGAATGTTCCCTTCTCAGTTATTCACATTGTAAAACTCAGCATTTCTGAACAAGATAAAATTGTTTTTATCCATGAGGCTCTTTACTGACTGCCTTTAAAATGCCTGCTGGCAGTGATGGGAGTCGCCTGAATTCTGCTAGCACACTGGGAAGCATTGTGGGCTACCCATTCAGATTTTGTTCAGAAAGAGGAAGAGTATCACAGACTGCATTTAGGAAAGTTAACAGCACAGCACATATTTTTTCAAAGGAGAAAAAATAATTATTTCAGTAAATGGCATGTGTCTGTTTAAAAGTAAATATCTTAATCATCTTATTGATGAGATGGATCAGAATTGCAAGATTTAATAAGATTAGTTCCTCCTGTGAAGTTCTCTCATTGGTATGTTACATAATTTGAAAGAATTTTCATGTAAAAAGCAAGTGTCATTTTGAAAAGCATATGACCCTTTGCAATATGAGATAGGGTCAATTATACCCACTATAATTGCCTTTTAATCTTTGAGACATTTACTCTGCACTTATCTCTGAAAGGCTCTGCTATGCGACTTTCCACTTGGTGCTGACACAGACCCCTTCCCTACATGATCGCCCTCTGATCTAAGGACTCACTGAATCAATTGGATCCCCTTCATACACGAGGTCCACTCAAAGTTACCCCTCCCTTCTGAGCCTCTTTTCTTGTCAGTAGTGTGAAGGGGGCATCTTGATTCTATGATATGAGACCTTTTGACTTAAATGTGAGTCCTGACTCTCCCCCTTAGTAGGTAATGTTTGATCATGAGCAAATCATGTAACCTCTTTGAGTGTCAGTTTCCTTTTCTCACATGAGGATAATAATCATGCTCCTTCCTATCTTCTAGAATTAGGGTGAAGATTGGATGGAAAAATGGTAAGCTGTAGAGTGCTAGGCATTTATCAGTTATTAGCATAGTGGCTGAGCTGTACGTGATGGTAGCCACATACAGTGAAACCACAGCTGAGACTCAGAATGGCGAAAGCCAGCCCAAATCAGTAAAAGGAATTGTGGTTATGTGCCGTCGAGTCATCTCCGACTCATAGAAACCTTTTGTACAACAGAACAAAACACTGCCCAGTTCTGTGCCAGCCTATCCCTGCTATACCTGAGCCCATCAATGTAGCCACTGTGTCGGTCCATCTCGTTGAAGGCCTTCCCCTCTTTCATTGACCCTCCACTTTACCAAACATGATATCCTTCTCCAGAGCCCGGTCCGTTCTGACAAAATGACCAAAGTAAGTGAGATGAAGTCTGGTCATTCTCGCTTCCAAGGAGCATTCTGGCTGCAGTTCTTCCAGGACAGATTTGTTAGTTCTTTTAGCAGTCCACGGTACTTTCAACATTCAAAAGCTTCAACTCTTCATCAGTCCTCCTTGTTCATTGTCCAGCTCTCAGATGCATATGAGCCGATTGAAAACATCATGGCCTGGGTTAGGCTCATCTTAGTCTTCAAGGAGATATCTTTGCTCTTCAGCATTCGAGAGAGGTTTTGTGCAACAGATTTGCCTAATGCAGTATGTCTTTTGATATCTTGACTGATGCTTCCATTGGCATCAATTGTAGAACCAAATAATACGAACTCTTTGACAACTTCACTCTTTTCTCCATTTATCATGATGCTGCTTATTGGTCCAGTTGTGAGGATTTTTGTTTTCTTTATATTGAGGTGTAATCCATACTGCAGACCGTAGTCTTCAATCTTCATTACTAAGTGCTTCAAGTCATCCTCACTCTCAGCAAGGAAAGTTGTGTCATTTGCATATCGCAGGTTGTTAATGGGTCTTCCTCCAATCCTGATGCTATATTCTTCATATAGTCCAGTTTCTCAGATTATTTACTCAGCATACAGATTGAAGCAATATGGTGAAAGGATACAACCCTGATGAATTCCCTTCCTGTTTGTCTTACTATATGGTATATAGTGTATCTTTCTATGCTTAAAAAACATAAACAAAACACTTCCAGATATATTAAAACATCTTAAACATAGAAGTGCCCATTTGTTATTACAAACAATTGTATGTACCTCAGATTTTTAATATAATAGTCTTAACAGGATTGGTTCATAACCATGAGTTGTATTTAAGTCAGACGTTCATAGCCCAAGGACTGCCTGTATTTCATAATTATCACAAATTCAAAGTTATTTTAATCCCTAAATTAATCAGATTTTATTTAACAATAAGTCATTTAACCAGGTTCCCCATTGTTATTTGTATCCCACTTTTGTTTTGTAGGTATTAAAACCAGGCAAATGTGTCTTATTTCGTGACTATGGGCTGTATGATCATGCTATGCTTAGGTTTAAAGCTGGCAGCAAACTTGGGGAAAACTTTTATGTTAGACAAGATGGAACCAGATCGTATTTTTTTACTGATGGTAAGATGAATGGGATCTCCCTTTAAAATGTTTTATTACTTACTTCTGTTTGCTTGGTTGCATTGTCACTGTGGTACTAGTTTGGGAGGGGGTTGCAGCTGTACTTGGAACACACTAATGAGACTATGGAACCAACTCTCCAATGCTCACCACTTATTGAGCACCTGGGACAGCACAGGGGCTCCCACAAGCCTTCTCTGGGTGACTGGGTCAGTCAGGGAGCCTGGTGAATGAGCAGACTCTGCCCTGCCACATAGGCACCCTGCTGAGAACCGTGCTGCAGAAGTGAGGAGGGCGCTGCAGAAATGTCACTCTGTTTAGTAAAGAATAAAGCACCTGGGACATTTAGGTTATTTTCCAAAGTCACAAAGACAAGAAGCCTTTTTCTTTAAATGTGATTGGATCAGTTCCTAAATACACAGATTTGTTTCAGAGGAGTGTTAAGAAAAACCGTCTAAATGCCTAACATTAATCTGGACCTTCTTAAGTCTGTTTTCACAAACGTTTTTATTTCTTGATTACCATTGAAACTGGAAGATCTTAAAAATGTCAGGTGAAAATTAAAAAGATGTTTTTAATGTTTCTGATTCATAAAATTTGATTAAACCAGTAGTGAATAATTGAGAAGATGCAATGATACCTGCAAAGTACTTCAAAGCACATTTTTTGAGGTAATGGACTCAGTTTGATATTTGTGCTACATAGCCATTCTCTTTGTTTTGTTTAATGCATAGTGATGTTATTGAGGTTAAATTGACTTTTTTCCCAGTCTGGTCATAGATTTCTCTTCCTCACATTAGGATAAATGAGGTCTTCAGTTTAAACAAATGGAGCACATTCAGACCTTGTATAAACATAGTCAGTTTAGAATATTGTTTCTTTTTGTTCAGAGTTTTGTATTTGAGGCTCATAATAGGGCAAAGTGCTCACAATCATTTGTCCTTCAACTTTTGTTTTAAATGTGTTTAATTGGAGGTTTCTACTTGGGTGTAAGATGATAGGTAAGAAATAGGAATATGTTAATTTCTGCCTCCAAGAAAAAAAGAACCCTTTATATTGGAGCATTAAAATTACCATTACATTAAAATTTAGGTATGTATCAGTCTCAGCCTTCCACCTACCCCTCCTTACCCACTGGGGGGGCAAATGCCACATTGTTAAGACTGAGTGCTGTTGCCTTGCTTGTCTTCCAGAATTCCTGGCTCAGCTCTTTATGGATACAGGTTATGAAGAAATGGTGAACGAATATGTGTTCCGAGAGACTGTGAATAGAAAAGCAGGCCTGTGCGTGCCTAGAGTTTTCCTTCAGAGCAAATTCCGAAAGCCTCCAAAGAACCCAGCACCCATGTCCCGTGACCCTGACCCTGGGTCATAAGTCCTTATTGTTCACGAAATGGACACTTGTGCCGCCCCTTGAAGAGGAAGGTTTATAATTAGTCTTTTTACTTTGTATATTTTTATATTGTAATGTTTTTTAAAATGAGCATATGTAATTTTTATATTAAAAAATGTATATGCAAATAAAACCACAAGGCCTAAAAAGTAAAGAAAGCTTTATGGTATAACATAATTTAGCCAAGTAGTTGGACTGTGAAATTCCAGGAAGAAAAGAATAAGAGCCTCAACAGAACTTGGAGGCCCCTGTCGTTGCTTATTGACCCTGTAAGTGTGCCTTTGGGCAGCATGTCAGACAACTGTGAGAAATGAGGCCAGATGGACTAAGATAGTGCATCCAGATGGACTTTTATCCTGAAGGATTGTGTAGTACTTTTCTTCTTTTTTTTCCAATGTCTTGTATTTGCCCATTTTAATCCCCCTTCATTTCATGTATATACTTTGTCAAGAGCTGTGTACCACAAATTGCTTTTGTATTTGCTTGCTATGTCTCTGCTCAGTTAACCACCGTGCCTGATTCTGAGACCCTCCATAATTGAACCAGTCCCTGGGAGAGCGGGGAAGGCCACTACCTATCCCCCTGTCTGTCTAATGCCCTTTCTCCAGATACAGTGGATGTCTAATCTAGAGTTGAATTTCAGAGCTGAGAGGGACTTTAGAATGTACTGTCCCAGCTTCCTGTCTGGAAATGAGGAAGCAGTGGATGGGGGAAATGATGACGCTGAAAGCAGATAGCTGGTGGTGTGGTGGCATATGAGGTAAACCCTGCGTTTATCTGCTGACCTGTTTCCTGAGCTGAGCATGTAATACCCTTTACTCTGTGAAATAAAATCATAGTTCTGTTTGCCTGCTAACTGAAGTTGATCCTGTAAGCCTTCACGTTTTCCTTTCTGCAGAAAGCTATCTATGAGAACACTGTGTCTTGAGTATGTTGACTTGTGGAATGTGTGTGCAGCACGCTACAGCCCTTCAGCCCCAATCATATCTGGAGAGGAGGGGTCCCCCCATAGGGAGGGGGTTGGATAATAGTCACAGTGTTTCTGAATAACCAGAATAAATCCTCCTCGCTTCTGGAGAGAAGAGGGTCAGCAAGCATGGCTTCAACACGGTGCTTACTGGGTGTCTTAACTCTGCCACCTGTCATCAACTGGGGTGGGGTGAGCAGGGGCCTAGGCTGTCTGGATGGAGAGAGGGAACAAGAGAAGCTTCTACTTCTTGCTTTGTGTATTATCTCCCTTTGGGGGCTAGAAGATGTCCATACCAAGTAAGAGCAACACTGATGAATAGTGCAGAGTTTGTCATTTGCAGTGTTTTATTCTGAAGTCAAAGGTGGGTCTGGAGAGAGGCTCACGGGTCTCCTCACAGAGCGACATTCCTCTAAGCCGTGCTCCAGAGCAGCTTGTTAGGGGAGAGCAAGGACCAGCCCAGGATTTCATTTGCAGTCCACAGATCTTTCTTCTAAACCCCTCCATCAAATGAACCCACACCCAGCCTCAGCCTCTCAGAACACTGCATACTGCCCCTCCATAGAAGTTCTTTTATCTGTGCTCTGACCAAAAGCGCTTGGACTTCAGTGGTTAAACTGAATAAAGGCAGTGGGACATTTAAAGTAGAAAGATGGGAGCAATGTATGGAGGAAGATAAGCATGGCTTCATTGTCAGAAAGACACCACTGGAACTCTGACCTCATCCCTTAACCTTTTTGATCCTCAAGAGTCTGCATTTGCAAAATGAGGATAACAGTACTGACCTAACAATATTTTGACCATTAAAAGAAGTAAATACAATTTGGGGCATATAGTAGACCCACGATACTATTAGTACCAGTTTCTTTAGTCCCTTCTTTTTTGTAACATTTTACTGAAGTTTAGCATAACATGCAAAAAAGTGGACAAATCATGTGTGTAGTTCATGACGTCATATAAGCATGCCTGTGAGATCCATGTGCAGAGCAAGGAACAGCATGACTAGCACCCCAGAAGCCCCTGGGTTGCCTTCTGCTTGTTATCTCACCAATAATCACCACTATTCTGATATCCAACATTGCACAGTAGTTTTTTTCATTCTCCCCAAAAGAATTTAAGGACAACTTTTAAAAAAAATACATAAATTATAAGATGATTGTGTTTTAAGTAAGGAAGTTGGAGTAGAGGGAAAAAGTAAAGGAGGATAAAGGGTTATCATACAAACTGCCTAGCTGAAATTCCTACACACTTGGAAATAAATTACAAATTTGACTTGCTGCTGGTCAGTGTGAAGAAGAAACAAGATCTACACAAGTCTGAACTCCTTAAGGTAAACCTGAAGCAGCTACTACTCGTCTTAAGATTTGAGGAATCTTCCCCTTCAGTTCTCGTAAAGAGAACACTAGAATAGCACGTCACACTTTTAATAGCATTGCCAATAACAAAACTACTGAAAGGTGGCTTCTGATAGTTACTTAATGTTGATACAATCCAAAGGGCTAGTCACTAAAATGCTTTAGATAAATGCCCCAAGAGGAGAGGACTGAAAGGAGATGGTCCCAGTGGGCATTAGAATCACTGGAAAGACTGATGGACTGTTTTTCCTTCTGCAATCCTCCATCAACAGTGGTCTTGCTTTCCTAGTTGTTCCCCTTAGCAGAGCATGTGATGTGAATCGAGGAGTCAGGGAGTAGCTTACACTTCCTGAGAAGTGCAACTATTCAAGGTTGCTGATCCAGGGCAGACCCTATGCCTGAGTGAGGCATCAGAGTGACACCCTCTAAAGAAAGCTGAAGGGACTGATGAGGACCCTGGCCATAAGAGAAGGTCTCCCCACCTTTGCCAAGAGCTAGGCTGAAGGAATGCCTATGAGGGGGCCAATAGTATCTCCCTAGCAACTTGGAGTTGTCTCCACCCACAGGAATAATTATGATTCCAAGTTCTTATCCCATAAAATGAGACTGCAAGTATTTTCACTTGGAATATGTAAAGCTGGTGAAATGACATGCCCACTTCTGGCACTGAGCAAGGTAACCTGAGATTAAAAAAAAAAAAAAAATTCCATCAAGTGGATTCTGACTCAGGAAGCTACATGTGGGTAGTGGAACTGTGCTCTGTATGGTTTTCAATGTCTGAGATCTATAGAAGGCAGGACACCAGACCTATCTTCTAGGGTGTCTCCAGGTGGGTTTAAACCACAAACCTGTTAGCAAAGTGCTTAACTATTTTCGCCATCCAGGGGTTATTTTAAGATATGTTGATTGTAAAGTATATTAATAGTTAAATGAATGACATAGTCCATCAAGGTTTTAGTTGTAAGCAAATGGATTCATTTAAGGAACTTGAAAGAGGTAGGAGGGGAAAAAAAAAAAAAGGCTGCACATAATAAAAACGGCTTTCACTGCTTCACTGTTCTTGTGTTCAGTCTCCCTGGGTGCACTTCCTTTACTGCACACCCATGAGGACAGCAGAGGAGGTTCTCCCACAGTTTGGTTGCCCAGGATCCCTGGGAAGCAAGGCCACTGTTGGTTGGTTTAGTAGCAAAACTGATGACATATTTGTGAAGTCATATAGACTGGAGTCAACCAATAATGCCTTGCCTTTACAAATGGAAAACAGGGACCTCAGAAATAATAGTACTATAGAAAATACTATGAGAGTTCCAACTCATGGTGACTCCACGTGTGTCAGAATTGAACTGTGTTCCATGGGGTTTTCAGTGGCTGATCTTTTGGAAGTAGATCAGTAGGACTCTCTTTCAAGGCTCCTCTGGGTGGACTTGAACTTCCAACCTTCTGGTCAGTAGCCAAATGCAACAACAGTTTGCACCACTCAGGTGTATATTGTAATTATATATATCATATATATGACCTCTGGTGGTGTAGTGCCTAAGGCTTCTGACTGCTAACCAGAAGGCTGGCAGTTCAAATGCACCAGCTGTTCCCCACAGAAGGAAGATGAGTTAATTTACTTCTGTAAAGTCAGAATCACTGGTAGTCAGAATTGACTCTGTGACAGTGGGTTTTGGTAGCACTGTATAGTGCTATAGACTATATACTGTTGTTAGCTGTTGTAGTTAGGTGCCCTCAAGTTGATTCTGACTCATAGCAACCCTGTGTACACAGCAGGGAACACTACCCGGTCCTGCACCATTCTCACAATCTTTGCTATGCATGAGCCCATTGTTACATCCACTGTGCCAATGCATCTTGTTAAGGGTCTTCCTCTTTTTCCGTGGTACTAATACTAATCATATGGATTGAAGTCCAAGATTTGCCCAATACAAGTTGCCAATTCCCCTGTGCTTCAGTCTCCGTGTTTCTTAAGACTAAGATTCTAGTGACTGTAGCATAGGACTGCCACCAGTATTAAATAGATCATTCACATGAGAATTCTTTGTTTACTACAAGGTGCCAGTCAAGTGCTAATTATTCATTAGTTTGTTTTCCCAAGAAAAGAACCACTCCCATAATTATTGTTAAGTACAAATGCTGGAGCAAATTCTTCAAGAATTTTTAATCATGGGGTCTTAGAAAGGGCCTGGAGTGTGGATGCTCCACCACAAGGGGGCAGTAAATACTAAATGTTCTTATTGGCCTTCAACTCCCATCTTAATTGCGATCATAACAGAGTCCATCTTCATAGTCATTGTAGAGGGAGGAAAATGCTTACAGATGTGTTTCCAGGCCCACTGTAGTTCATAGAATCAATGATGGTCTCAAAGAGGAGGTGCTTTCACCCAGAATTTAGTCTACTTTGCCTACTGAAGTTTGTGTTCAATTAAATTTAGGCAACAGTTTTAAGGGATGCTTTCTGTGATGGGTTCTGAAGGTTTCCAGGTACACTGAGAAGTGTAAATATATGTTAGACACCAATCAAGAATCCTAAATTTTTTTTTTTCCCTCTGTGGGTAAATACTTTCCACCTCACTCATCCCGCAATGATTCTGTGGATTCATTTTTACTGTTGCTTGGAATTAAGGCAAAATAAGAGAAGGGACTACAGCACGAGACTTACCTGCCTAATACATTATTCATAGTTATCTTTTGACAGTATTTGGTTCCCTACTTCACAGTTGTCAA